ACGAGGGCCTGGACATAGGTTCACAGTATGGCTGCGAATGCATCTCTTAGAATGAATGGATAAATTCCTTCCCAATCAAAAATATATTATAAAATCATTTTCTCTGGATGATTATGTCATGCTGTTTCTCAAGGACACTTCTATCCTAGGGCAGAGGCTTTTGTAAGAAGACAGTTTTTTATATAATTGCATAGTCCAGGCATTGCCTTGGCAAAAATAGCAATGCTTAAAAATGATGGCCCAAGATATTTTCAAATGAGCATTTTTGTTACTTTATTTGAGATAAGGAATAACAACAGAAATAAAAGTTTAGAGACCACTGTGAAATTAATTGAGCATGAAAAACAATCTTTAGGACGTTTCCTTTCTGGGTGTTTGCTCCCATACTGAGTAAGAGGTGCTAAAATCCAAACTATGGCTTCACCAAAAACTTGTGAACATTTTAGAAAGTGATTAAATTCAATCAGAGATATTTGAAATTAATTAAGAATAATTATGAGTGGGATTGAATGTACTCTCTATCATCCCACTGGGAACATTTTCCTCTGGGTCAATCTTAGAAAATCATTATATTTATTTCATTTCACACCTCCTTAAAATTTTAAAAACATATTTCAAATAAAAAGCTGCAATGTATTAAGGACTCATCTTGCTAATGAACCCACCTCCATTTAAAAGGATTTTTAATATTAAAAAAGGCAGTATTTGCAAAAATCTTCTAACAATATGTTGGGGAACTGAAACCCACAAAAGATCATGGTTACATATTTTGCAATAATTCTTTCAATGCCTGAATTTATTCAACATTTATTGAAGAATCTCTTATATCACACACGGTACTAAATCCCTGAAGATAGAAAAATGAATAACCTTCCCCTTGCCCTGAAGAAGCTCACTGTCTATTGCAGAGATGGACAAATACAGCTCATTGTGATAAAAGGTTTTGGGCGTGATGTCGAAGTCTTCCTGGGGGGCTGTGGAAGCTCCTGGCAGAGGCTCTAACCTTGAAACAGGGTGTTTTTCTTGGAGACAGTGAAATTGCTCCCTTACTGACATTAAGTGAAAACATCAAGTAGATATTAAATGTGGTTTCAATGTTTCACTTGACAATTCTACAGAAAAATATAAAGATTGATGAAATTTAACCTTTAAGTTCAGAAATTGACCAGCAATAAATTTGTTGGATTTACACTTAGAAGTTAAATATTTTGGCAACTATGATGGGGATGACAGTAAAAATCTCATCATTGAAATGCAAAGGATTTTCATAGGGAGAGCAATGTATAAAGGTATACTTAAGCTCTGTCACTTACTGCCCATGTGTCTTTAGGCAAATCACATATACCGCCTAATCCCCAGTTTCTCCATATGCAAAGTAGAGCTAATATTAGCTTACACATAGAGTTATTATAAACATTAAATAGGATCATGTTTACATATCTTTGTGATGGGGCATCATGAAAGACTCAAATGTGATAGTAGCAATTTAATTATAAATCAAGCCAGGGATTCCAATGTGGGATATTGAGTCCTTGGCAAGGAATGGAAGGGTGTTGGTAAGTGTGAAGCAGTAACTGACGTCAGGGAACCTGGAGTCCTAGGCAGGAAACAAAGGCAAGGATGTGAATGATGATGATGACAATAAAGACAAGAATTACTATAGCTCTTTCCAAAGTTCAGAATATTTTTTACTGAATTAAGCCTTTGATTTTCTAGGACAATTATTTACTCATAATCTTAAGTCTGCTTAGAAAGAATCAGGCTTCAGTTGACCTCTTGCCTGAGTAGATCCTCCTTATCTCTAAAAGAAGTCAGAGTCTCTGGGCTGCATTACCTGGTATTAGCAATGTGAAAATCATACCTTCCCTCCGAACAATTTCTCAACCCCCTAGTGAGCAACATGTGAGGTGTAACTATCCTAGATGCACTGAGTCAGAAGAGAAGCTCAGGGAACAGCGAGTGAGATAGAACAGAGCTTCCAGAACATGACAAAACAATCTTGGGAGCAGAGGAAACACAGTGATGTGAGAGCAGGTGGATAGCTCATAGGTGCCATTGCAAGAAAGCAGTTGGAGCCATTCAAAAAGAGATAGTAGTGGGAACGGCTGCATCAAATCAACAAACAAGTGCTGGTGAGCACATGGAGAAAAGGGAACCCTGGCGCACTGTTGGTGGGAATGCAGACTGGTGCAGCCACGTGGAAAACAGTATGGAGTTTCCTAAAAAAAAATTAAAAATAGAACTGCCCTTTGACCCAGTGATCTCACTTCTGGGAATATATCCTAAGAATCCTGAAACAGCGCTGGCCGGTTTGGCTCAGCGGATAGAGAGAGTCCTGGATTCGTTTCCGCTAGGGGCACATACAAAAAAAAAAAGAATCCTGAAACAGCAATCAGAATGAATATGTGCACCCTTATGTTCATGGCAATGTTTTTTACAATAGCCAAGATCTGGAAATAGCCCAAGTGCTTATAAGTAGAGGCATAGCTAAAAGAGCTATGGTACATTTACACAATGGAATACTACATGGCTGTAAAAAAAGAAGGACCTCTTACCTTTTGCAACAGCATGAGTGGACCTGGAGATTATTATGCTAAATGAAATAAGCCAGACAAAGACAAATACTATGTGATCTCTTTTTGAGTGTGGAACCTAATGAACAAAAAAACCCGAGGAACAAAATAAAACCAGAAGCATGGATACATGGAACAGACTGACAGAGGTCAGAGGGGAGGAGGATGGCAGGGACTGTATGAAAGAAGGTGAAGGGATTAGCCAAAGAACATATATGAATAGCTTATGGACACAGACAACAGTGTGGTGATAGCCAGAGGGAAAGGGGGGCCTCGTGGAGGTGGGTGGGTAAAGTGTGTAGGGGAGGTATCTGTAATAGTGTCAATAATAAATAAAAAATAAAAAAGTAGTGGTTCAAAATGAGATAAAGGCAATGTGTACCCCATAGATGAGAAGTCTTACAGCAATTGCTATTTGGAGAGCCAAGAAAGGAGGCAATTACCACAGACCCAGGAAGAATAACAGCAAGAGATTAACATTACTTATGGTGCGCTCCTAGCTGGGGTGGAAGAGGTATGGTTAAGGGTAACCTAGAGCCCTAGGATCAGAGAACTAGGAGTGTGAGGGGAAAAGGGAGGTATCTCACATAAGAGACTAAAATGGATTCTACATTCAGGATAAAGTACGAGGTTGGGAGCTGAATTTATAGTAGATACCATTAAAGAGTAGGTGTCTAGATGGGGAATCTTTATTGCTGCATTAAAGAACCTTAAAAAGCCCTCTCTAAAACCAGGATTGGTCTCAACGTCAGAACAAAACAGAGGCAGCTGGTGGGGGCTTCGGTGGAACAGTGGAGAGGTTGAGGGATAAGGGAGGAAGAATCAGTTCCTTTATCTTGTTGGGTATTTTTCAAATTCAGACCATTTAGAAAGTACAGGCTGAGGAAGCTGAAATTTCTCAAACTCTGTGGGAGACTAAAGACAATTGAAACCTTATTTTTAAATGTGTAAAGTGTTGCTTTTGAAGAAAAGCAATCAGTTATTATTTCCCCCACTGCTACAATTTTAATAATACACCCTTCCTATAGTTGAACCACTATGGGCTGTGTGTTGTCATTAGTAAAACAGTAATATTTCCTTCGTGCTTTCAAGTTTCAAAGCCCTTCTCACATTCATTGCTGTATTTTCGGCATATCTCTACGAAGTAAACGCCACAATATGCTCGAACTTATTTCCAGGTGTAGAAATGGAAGTACAGATGAATAATGTTAGTAAGGTCTTAAAACCACTTTAAAAATCAAAGCCAGACCATGTAACTGAATCCTGGCCAATTCCCAGGCTTTCACTGAGCTCAGAGGTGAGTGAAAGAAGAATCTGCTAAATTATGTCTTTCAATAATCTTGTCCCTGGGCAATCTTGGATATTAAACCTCGTCCTCCCTATTGTCCTAGCTCCTGTGCATAGCCTGTACTCAGGACCACGTTAAATTCCAGAGCTTGTTTTCTCTGGCCTCCATCTCCCTTCCCCCTGGTGGGAAGATTCCTATCGACATGGATTTCAGTCCCGGCTCTAAAACTCGACAACTCCCGCCACAGTGCTTACCAGCATCTGTACCTCCGTTTTCTAAATGGAAAAATGGCATATGCAGTGCCTATTTTGAAGGGTTGTAAGCTTTTTAAATGTGATCACTTATGTAAAGCACCTAGTATAGCGTCTGGCACATAGACATTGTATAACTATCGGCTGTTTTGCTGAAGAAACTTGATCCTGCTCAAGCTACTGTTGCCTCGTTTGATATAGGGGAGCCATACTGGCTCCATTTTACAGATGAGGTCTAAGAAACGTTGTGTTCATTTCTGGGGATCACATTTAAGGTAAGTAAAGATGGGATTAGACCCTCAGTCTCCTAATGGTTGTCGCAGACATGCATTTTGGCACCCTGTGTCACAGCCTCTTAGCGGGACTGATTTCAGCCACAGCTACAGTGTTTCGTCCCTGTCTGGAGAGAAGGTCCCTCATCAGGTATCCACTGTCCCCTGACTATTCTTTTCTCTGCTTCAAGGTTCTCTCTAAAGCCCCCAGGAGTTCCCAGGCAGGAGAATCCTGGACGTGCAGGGCCATTAAAGCCTCTAAGGGTACCCCTCAACAAAGGGGGGGGGGCTGCGAGAGGATGACTGCCCCGGCCTCTCTTCCTCTGGACAGATAACCCTGAAGCGCACTATTTGATCTGCAGTTGCCCACAGTGGGAACCTTCTCGATAACACACACTTGATTTTGGCTTTTCCTCCTCTAAGACACTCTCCTCCACACTTTTGATCTGGCGTCCTGGGACTGCCTCCCAAATAGACTTCCTACACTTCAGTCCTTGTCTCAGGCTACGTCTTGGGAACCAAAGGCTGGGAGTGGGGGTGTTGTACTGTTTTCATTCTTTTGCTTTGCTTTGTTTTCTATTGTATTTATACCACATTTCTATTTCTCTCTCCACAGGTCACCAAGATGCTTGCAGTGGTTGTCATTCTGTTTGCCCTTTTATGGATGCCCTACCGGACTCTTGTGGTTGTCAACTCATTTCTCTCGAGCCCTTTCCAAGAAAATTGGTTCTTACTCTTTTGCAGAATTTGCATTTATCTCAACAGTGCCATCAACCCAGTGATTTACAACCTCATGTCCCAGAAATTTCGAGCAGCCTTCAGAAAACTCTGCAACTGTAAGCAGCAGCCAACGGAGAAACCTGCTAACTACAGTGTGGCCCTAAATTACAGCGTCATTAAGGAGTCAGATCACTTCAGCACCGAGCATGATGATATCACTGTCACTGACACTTATTTGTCTGCCACGAAAGTGTCTTTTGATGACACCTGCTTGGCTTCTGAAATAACCTTTAACCAAAGCTGATTCGTGCGTTCGAAGAAAATGGACCACAGAGTGAATCTGTGCAGTTATCAACCCAAGAGAGGAACAGGCCGATGCTCGTATTTAAAGACAGAGCATCTGGAGTCTTTTTCAATGTTCTGACAAATCCTGGCCCAAGATGCTCTAACCCACGGGATGATTCATGTTTTCCTTCCATTGTTACAAAACTAACATCACACAAAATGACGCAGATCTGTGAAATAGCCAAAGGGAAATGGAGAGGGTAACCCTTTCCATTTAATTTGTGCAATTCACTTTACTGGGGGGGGAGGGGGGCTATGAAGTTTAGATCAAGTCTAGACATCAATTTACATTAGTTATAATAACTATATCAAATGGGATTTCTCAAATCCCCTTCCCTCCAATTATTTATATACAGGGTAGGGCAAAATTAGGTTTCCAGTTGTTCGTATGGAGAATAATACAATAATTAATAAATAAGAATACAAAAATAAACTCTTTGTTTTGTGTACTCACAACTGTAAACCTACTTTTGTCTCATACTACATTTGGTCATTTTGCAACATGTAAATGTTTAAATGTTTGCATTTAGCGTTTCAACAAAGTACAGTTCATGAATATCTGAGACTCCACGACAGAATAGAAAAAAATATTTTACTTATTGAGTAAAAATAAGATTTCAGACAAATATGTTCACTCAACTAAAACAAATAGAAAAGCAAATGTCATAATGCTTATAAAATTTTGAGATGATTTTTATATCTTACAAAGTAGACAGTCATCATTTCAACTTTAATGTAACATAAACTACAAAATAGTCAAAAGTTAAAAATTATGAGAAAATGTAGATTTAATTTTTAGATAAAGCCAGCTCTTAACAACTCTTTGAGCCTACTAAATGATGGTTGAGACATGAGAATTATTCATATTAAATAACTGTGAAGATATAAACTAATACACAATTAACATTGAAAAGTATTGCCAAGACAAGACCAAGTATTTAAAACAAAGTTTTACTTGTCTCTGAAACTATTAAGAAAGAAAACTTTTTTCTGAGTAAGCATTTTTGTGTATAAACTACTGAGCCATGTGCAGTGAATAAATCCTTCTAACCGAATCCAGCTTAAAAGTCAAGAACCTTCTTGAAAGCTTACTTGCTACTCTAAGTCAGTCCAAGTCTGACCATTATACTTCCAGATGAAGACACCCCTCTGGGCATTCTATGTAGCCTATAGATTTTAACTTTGTCTACAATTGTCTTTTCTTCCTGCCTGCTTGTATTTGTAGGTCCTCCATCTTTCTACAAATGCTAGAGATATTTTGTTTACAGAGTCTAAATTAAAGCAATGCAAAATGCAGTGGGCTTTCTTTTCAAGAGAGCTAAAACTGATTTCAACTCATAATCAATATCTCTTTATAGTTATGACTTACACTTGCTATTCTAATCCAGCGGTTATTAGAGAGTATAAATGTAAATTTTCCCAGGACATAGTGCTTCGTCTTACTTTAAGCTCCTTCAAATAACTCACCTACTACGATTTGGTCAATAGCATCTCCAAGTTTATAAATTGCCCTTGGTGATGGCTCAGTAATAGTTCATTTTTAATGACTGGATCAAAAAGTAATGGGTACTCTTAAGTGTCCCATAAGCTAAAAATTTCCCTTTCCAGCCTGTATCCCTTTTTGTGCATTTTTTTCTGGAGTCTGATCGCTAATGATAATTACCCTGCTCCACCTTCTTAATGAAGAATACATCATTCTGCTTTTGGAAACTTCAGTTTTTAAATGCTGCTTCATGGAGACTTTGCCATTCAGAACTTTGTTTCAGGATATGCTTTTGTAAAAATCGGCCTCATCTACTCCAGGAAGACATTCTTATTCAGTCACTGTGTCAGTAAACAAATGCAAGCAATAATTTATATATATATACCCTAAAAGTCTATCTGCATGACACTAAGAAATCTATTTTAACTGACTTGCATCCTGAGTTAAATGTTAGTCTTGGAAGCACATTGATAGAGCATCAGAGTGACCCAACCCCAAACCACACAAGCACATGTGCAGGTACATACCAACACAGACAGACACATGTAAATAAATTGCTTAGCAAAGGGGAATGGAATATATTAGATTTTTTTCATTAGGAAAAGGAACTTATATCATTGAGCTTCTAACTATGTCTCAGGCATGCTGATAGGCCCTTAGCCAACATTATCTTCATCACAATCTCACTACAGCTGTAATGTCTCTTATGATAAAACTAGGAATCAGGGAACAATGTAGCTTTCCTAATTGTATAGGTACTAGGGAGATAAAATGTCATTTTTTTCTTTTGTTTTTTTTTTTTTAAAGTCAGCATGCTGATTAAAATTCTTCTAGTCTGTTGGCCTAAAGAATAAAAAATATGCCCAGCCAGTGTGGTTCAGTGGTTGAGTGTCGACCCATGCACCAGGAGGTCACCAGTTCATTTCCCGGTCAGGGCACATGCCCAGGTTGTGGGCCAAATCCCCAGTGGGGGGCATGCAGAAGGCGGCCAATCGATATTTTCTCTCATCGATGTTTCTATCTTTCTCTCTCCCTCTCCCTTCCTCTCTCTCTCAAATCAATAAAGAAAAAAAAAGAATAAAAAATATACATAATTTTCAGGGTGGTAATATCAGATGTTAAAAAAAAATTATAATTTCTTATATGTTATAAACAGAACACAGTATACATTTCCCACCTTTGGAAATTTAATATATGCGCTCAGTTTTCCCATTTTAATTTTTAAAAGTTACTTGCTAATAATCTGTTAGTTTTAGACCACGTAGAAAATTCAAAAGAACATAGTTCACAGTGTTTCAACTATAAAGCAAATGCCATAACAAAATTAAATGTTCTTGTGCAATGTCCAATAGATATCTGGATTTACACAGAAGACATACAACTTTTTAAGGTATTCTTTCTCACTATACTAAATCATAAAGTAGTTCCATAAAGAATCAAAACTTAATATATCATCAAATTAAAAGTAAAGAACTAAATTAAAATTTGCTATTAGAATGAAGTAATATTATTAAGGGACTCCCTTAATAAAATTCCTTGAGCTGTTTTATTACTCGAATTTCATTAATTGCTGAATGTCTTTGGTTAGATCTTGAGCCTGAGGTAATTAGGTAAAGGTCACAGATCATGAATAAAACAAGCAAACATAAATTCCTTCCTAAGACTTCACCATTCCTATTGTGAGTGTATTTTTAGAGTTTCACTCAGCACAACTATCCTAAATGCTGGAAAGAAATGGGAAAAGTCCAAACTAGAATCGATCTGAAACAGGCTAAATACACAAAACAATACACCTTGGCAATATTCAAAACAAATGGACAGTTTGGGCTAAACAATTAATAAAGTCAAAGGAAAACCATAGCCAAAATACTTAGTTTTATATAACTGAATCTTAAATGGATACTTTGTCTAACTTCCAGAAGAATGTTTTGGAATAACAAGAGAATCTGTCAGTAAAGCTGAGTCCACACAGCTCAGGACTGCTCTTAAAAAGTAAGAGTTACGTCATCCTAAACTATGTTAAACCTGTAACCATGATAGATGAGAGAAAATATTAACTCTTTGGAGGAAAAAGAGATTTTACATACTTTACTGTGACTCTTAGAAGTCTATAAATATCACATTGAACATTAAGGAATGGAGTAAGAATAGGGCAAGGAAATAGATGTGAATAAGAGAGCATCCAGAAACAAAGAGTCAGTCCCAGGCTCTAAGAAAATATTTTTCAAATGTTTGGAATCATTCGTTTCCCTTGGAAGAAGCAGAGGATGAAAATCTCTAGCAATTTATTTTCTATTTATATTCAGTCGTCTACTGTAAATATCCATCAAAACCAAGATTTGGCTGAGCAAATGTGTTTTCGCAGTAATACCCGTGAAGACGTCTTACAGAGCTCCATATTAGATCAACATATTTTCTCTCCTTCCCCTCCTCCCCTATGAAACTGCTATCCCTCCATAACATCACCGTTCCTCAGAGCCAGCAGCTTCGTCTACAACTCATCCTGAATGTGAAATAAGCAAAAGCGTATTCTTTCAACCACATTTATTTATAAGAAAATATTTTGTTGTTCTGAACACCTTCATGTTCTCATAAAATCATGTGTAAATTGTGGAAAAACTGATGCTCTTAAGATCTTTAACTTACGCCCCAGTTTTTATGGTGGGGGTCACATGTAGAGTGCAGCTAGCTGCTCAGCATGGGTGTCCTCACAGAACCAAAAAAGAGGTTTGGTATTTCAGAGGTTTTAGTGAGAAACCAGTAAAAGAGCATTCAATGTGTGAAAAATCTCTGCAGAAATCCAATGGCTCTTCCCATTTTTGAGGAGCTCACAGCCCATGGGGAAAAAAACAGAAACAAAAACAAGACCAGAATGAAATCATTTCAAGATAACTGTTTGGCAGTATTTAGAATATGAATTGGAGATGTCATTTTTAAAGAAGCAATTGTTAAAAGTCCATTCAGAAATACCTTAAACGTCATTGAAGTATTGCAATTCTATTTTATGAACTATAATTAGATACGTCAATTCATTTAATTCTTAACTTCATTAATTACACAGAGGAAATAAGGTCAGATAACACCCTATAATATTTTTGTTCATATGTTTGGTCTATAAGTATAATCTCAAGTCACCCAACAGAAAACATCATTTACAAGAGTTGCACATTGGGGAACAGTTTTGTTTTGGAGATGGTTAGCACCAAATGGACCATGCTGATGGAAACTAGGTCTCTATGGTTCCATTTTTAATATTCAAATCATCTCTTTTGAAAAGAGTGGCTGGGAATGTTTCTATGCAATGTTTTCAGGCCCATTTACATTCTTCTACAACAAGCACATTCATAGTAAATCCAACCTGAGGTGATTGGTTTATGTTTTAGAAATGACACTTGGAAATTCAAGGGGCTGGATGAAACAGTGCAGCTGCAGCAGCACACTGTCAGAACTCTCAAACCTGGGTCCAGCAAGAAAACAAAAGACAGTTTTATGGCCAACAAAGAGCAAATCCACACAATGATTGGCTGCGTGTCCTCACGGAGGAGCATCTGGGTCAAGTCTATGCTACAGGCTCTCAACTGTCGTAATGGAAATGAAAGC